CCATGCTTACATTACACAACATTTCCTCGACCAATCACCGCCACGCTTACATCACACAACATTTCCTCGACCAATCACCGCCATTCAAACTGCCGCACTCCATCTTCCTGTTCAGGTGATACATTTTTGTGTAACTAAGTGAAGCCTCGTACATGTACTGACGTAGTGGACAAGTACATATACGTAAACATGAGGATAGTCTGTCATACCTCACATAGGTTGTCCAGGACCAGTCACCACTGTGCTAACGAGACTAACTATCGTCGTACATATGACGGAGCTCTTCACAGTTATAATTACCTCACGGACAGTGGCAATAACATACAGCTGTAATCTACAATTACAGCTCACAAACGAACAAAAATTTGTCGTTTATTAATCAACGCCTCGCCTTTATTTTATCAGCAAACACTTATCAATGCCGCCTCCTCTCATCTCCCTCAACGCTATGCAACATTCCGCTGTGAGATACAACGTATCACACACCAGATAACGTCAGCTAACGTTGTTATTCAGCCCGTCCTCCTAAGGTTCCCCAACGTCTAGAAACTATCGTACTAAAATGTCCTTAGCCTAACCTCCCAGCGGACCCAAAACAGAAAACTGGACACTGTAAATTTCGCGAGCCGCTTCAATTTTCTAGTACGACAACTTTTGTCCCCTTAAGTAGTCAAAAATGCGACGTTCTATTAGCAGAACGAATTGAGGTATTACATACATCTTACCACATATTAATAATTTATGCGCTTGTGTTTACCCATGAATGTTAAAATCAATACTAGACTCACATAATTGGAATCTCCGAATTAGGCTGGATTAGATTTGGTTACGTTCGGTTAAATTAGGTTAGATTAGCTAAGTTAGACGAAGTTACTGGAGGCGATACCCTGATTGGGTACATGACGTCCCGTGGTATGAAAATACTGGCTTGTGATTGGTGAATGAGTTGCATGTTAGCTAAAATTGTTTTATGGAAGGAGGTGAAGAGCCAACCTGTGATTGGTGAATGAGTTGCATGTTAGGTAATACTGGTTCGCGGGAGAGGTGGAAATGTTAGCGCGTGAATTATAGAGCAGTGTGAGGCTTTATAATAAAGTACCAGAGAATGTCGCAAGTGGCAAATTAACTCTGGTCTTGTGTAGTGACTCGCTAACGTCCAATCAGCGCTGCGCTTAAATGAACAAATCCACAAGGGCCGTGACGAGGATTCGAACCTGCGTCCGGGAGCTTCCCAGACACAGCCTTAATCGACTGAGCTATGAGCGCTTACTCAAAAGGCAACACATTCAAAAATATAACAAAATGCAATCAGCGCTACAATTATTCACTCTATCGCTTATTCAACACGTACATGAGCGTCATTCACTACGGATGTATAATCAGCTCTTTTATACATGTGAATAAAGTCGTGTGAATGGGTGAGAAAGGAAAGGGCAACATAGAAGCTGGAGACATTTTTAAGCCATACAATGGACTCGAACCTGCGTTCCTAGACACACACACTACCGACTCAACCATGATGTGCCTGGGGAGTTCGGAGACGCAGGATCGAGCCCATTATGTGGCCTCAATATAATTCTATAGATACACCGCGTTATGAATTTCATTGTGCATCGAACGAGTCCCTGACAAATTCTCAATATGTCGACATTATCGTACAGTTGGAAACTGACGCGCGCGATGCTCGTGCGCGCCGCTCGCAGAGATCACCAATATTTTACACCATGCTTTATCTTGAGGTTATCTTGAGATGATTTCGGGCTTTAGTGTCCCCGCGGCCCGGTCCTCGACCAGGCCTCCACCCCCAGGAAGCAGCCCGTGACAGCTGACTAACACCCAGGTACCTATTTTACTGCTAGGTAACAGGGGCATAGGGTGAAAGAAACTCTGCCCATTGTTTCTCGCCAGCGCCTGGGATCGAACCCAGGACCACAGGATCACAAGTCCCGCGTGCTGTCCGCTCGGCCGACCTACTTGTACTCACCTAGTTGTGCTTGCGGGTGGTCAAGCTTGCTAACAATCGACTGATGCACACGTTTCCAAGCTTATATTGACGTGTATCATATCTACATATGAATCTACGTATACAATTTGCCTCCATCACTTCACAGCGTATTTTATTAGTTCATTATAGGACATTAAACAATATAGTTTCTATGTCGGTGGATCAGATACGTACGTAGTTTCCCAGTGTGCCCAATTGTTCGGGCACCACCCGTGGTTAGTAGTCTCTCCTTGTCTGCTCCGTCTTCCCTCGAGTACCGTGGATATTGTGAGCATGTCTCCCTCGATACCTTCATATCTTCCAGCGACGTGAGACTTAACTCCTTTAGTCTCTCATCGTAACTCTTAGCTCTGGGTCGAGTCTGGCGGCATAATTCTGAACTTTCTTTCAGTTTAGTTTTGCGTTTAGTGAGATAACTGAACACTGATGCGACATATTCTTGAATTGATCAGAAAGGGATGGTGAAGAAAGTGCTAAACGACGCACTGATTTAGTACAATTTGTATACTGACATATGTCATCCAACCTTGCACATGTCTCTGCATGATGTTGTTGTTGTTGGATGTTGGCTCCTGCAGGCGGCTGCTTCCCTGTGAAGTCAACATCTGAGTCGTCACATTCATATGTTTTCCCCACTGTAAACATCTTCACATTATCTGCATCCCTCCTCCACACACCCTGCCTGGCTCTTCCCACCACACACACTAGACTGTGCGACACAGTGGTTGCAAGGATCAGGTTGAGTTACCGTTACCTGTGGCAGGTGACTGCAGGTGACGGGTCTCCCAATCCTGAGCACTCCAGGTGCAAATTCTGTGAGCAGGAACTACGGCACGATCTCCCTGAAGATATCCTCACAGTGTACCCAAAATTTGCCAGTGCAGGCTACTAAACACATGGCCCTGTATGATTAACCATCCTGCGAGATGGGGACTTGTATTACCACTGCTGTCTTATTTAACACACTACCCATCTCCAATGCTAAACTCTATGGACTCTGGGCGACATATTTCCTTATAATGCCAATTTGAGGGGACTATGGGACGACCCCCACTTGAAGGGAGTTATGGGGGCAGAACCCGACCCTTGTGACACTCCCAATAAAATCAACTTTAATCCTGTAAAGTTTAATGAGACAGCCCCAAACAAGTGCCAAACACAGACATACACACATACAAAAGTCTCATGAGAATTAAGAATGTCGACAAGGACAGACAGCCTAACAGGCTCAGGAACATGTACACCAGTTGACTGACAGTTGAGAGGCGGGACCAAAGAGCTGAAGCACAGCTGATAAGAGTACAATTATGTGAGTTCATTCATATATTATTCTTAAACATATATGTACTGGGACGTCCAAGTGACCTTATTCAGTCATTAAACCCAGAATGAAGAAGATTAATAATTAAATGCATTTAATACGACACATAATCCCTGGCGCGCAGATAAGCCATAGGGGTTTTATACATTTTTAATAGTACGGCGCGTTAAGCTGCAAGGATTATCGACGCTATCAACAATATGAGAGCAAAGTCTGGTGATAAATGTGTTTAACACCAGTCCTGACCAGCCCTTATTTAAGGTACTCTGGTGTTGTGGATGGTGGTTGTGGTGTTGTGGTTAGTGGCTGTGTTGTTAATGGTGGTTGTGTTACGTAGCCGGCCTCCTTACCTTGAGGTGCTTCCGGGGCTTAGCGTCCCCGCGGCCCGGTCGTCGACCAGGCCTCCTGGTTGCTGGACTGATCAACCAGGCTGTTGGACGCGGCTGCTCGCAGCCTGACGTATGCACATCAGTAACATCCTCATGCCTCATGCCGTGACGTATGCCTCAGTATCATCCCTGCGACTCGCTTGTCTCTCACGCTTCCGTCCCTGCACAATTGTTCAATTGTTGTTCATTTTGAACATCTTTTCCATTCTGTCAGTTCACTTAAGTATATTATGTCTATCACGTCTCCTCTTTTTCTAGCGACGTCAAGTCTAGTTCCTTCAATATTCTCTTCATTACTCTCATCACTTGCAATTCTGTTACGAATTGCAACCAACAAATCTCTGAATCTTTAAATATACTTAAGAAAATGAGAAAAGATGATAGTTATACGACGGGGGAGATATATACTATAGGAGTGGTGTCACTTAGACAATGTACAGGGACCTAAATGCCTCATTATTTAGGTTCCTGGAGACTGTTCTGACGTTTGTCATTGCAGAGTATGCTGCTGATGTTATCCTGTTTATGTGTGTCTCAGGAGTTAGGGTTATACTCCTGTGTCTTTTGCACTGGTCGTTCCAAGGAGGGAACTACCATTAATTGTGTACCGTCTCTCTGATCTTCTGGCACTTGTTCACACATTCCCATCACTTTACACTTACTTGTGTTGAGTTCTAGGGGGGGAGAGAGAGAGAGAGAGAGAGAGAGAGAGAGAGAGAGAGAGAGAGAGAGAGAGAGAGAGAGAGAGAGAGAGAGAGAGAGAGAGAGAGAGAGAGAGAGAGAGTGTGCTCTAGCTCCTGACGCCGCCTCTCCTCTTAGCACACATCTGTGAGTTGCCTATGCTGCCTAGTAAACGCCAAAGTATTGAGACATGACCCTAACTATAAGCAAGACTGTCTACGAACCACACACACACACACACACACTCAAGGCTTACCATACGAGCGATGGGAAAACGCACTCAAGACAGGTGTGCCAAGCAACGGAACACAGGTGCTGGTGAAAACGGTGCCTCTGTTGTAACAGGTGCGCTTCAGCTCAAGCTGGGAAGGAAAGCTCACGTAATATTAGTCTCCCAAGCCAGATCCGAAGACGATATTTCCAGAGGACGGCTACACTGCTCCCTCCGCCTTACCTAAATGATAAAAATCTTAACACAGTATTTACTCACAACTGTTAACTGTAGAGTATTGAGACGACATATTGTATATATATATATATATATATATATATATATATATATATATATATATATATATATATATATATATATATAGGGGTACCACCACCACCTCTGTTGCAATTGTAGGGACCCATAGCCTCGAAGAAATATATATATATAATATATCATATAATAAATATAATATATATAAAGGGGTACCACCTCTGGATGAAATAGTGAGGACATTTAGCCTCCAAGAAGAGAATAAGAAGCACTCAAGGGAACAGACTTAAGAGTTCTTCTGAATATTTTCTCCAACCCAATAGTTTGTTACTTTTTATACATACATAATTATATGTTAAATGTACATATACATACACAATATGCATACATATATATAATATATATACACATATAATATCAGGGATGTCTTGCACAATATAACATGGCAGAATTAAGAGATAAGGTAGTTTAGCACTGTCTTGTGTATGACCTTCCAGGACGTCATTTACACTGAAACTCTTTGGCTATTAATATTATCCTGGATTCTACGAGCAGGCCGCTCACACTGCTTGTAAATAACCTCTACTAACATGGGGAGGCGTTTGGGCTAACTCTGTACACTACTCCTGTACACTACTACTCCTGTACACTACTACTCCTGTACACTACTACTCCTGTACACTACTACTCCTCTCCTTAACTACTGCTTTGGAAAACTGTGATTAATCTCTGGTTGTCACCAGCATATTCTTAGCACTGACTGGTGACTTAGGAGTGACTGGTGACTGGGAGCATACAGAGTATTCATCTATAATCAAGTGTGTGACTGTAACTCGTCTGTCTTTCACCTAGTATCCTCTCGACCAGTCATGGTTCACCACACAGGGAGCTGTCATCTTCGCCAGTCGCATACACACTTTTCTCGCATTAAACAGTTTAATTATTTACATTTCACCACTTCATCTGTTTGACTGTTTCAGCTCCATCAATAAACTAGGTCGTCAGTTATATATATATAAGGTCCCTGTTTAACACCATTGGCAATGTTCTTGTTCACCAGTGTTCACCAGCCCTGATCAATCCGGTAGTTCCCGGGTCTCTCACTTCACAATGTGTCTTTCTATGACCAGTGTTCTCACAGGTGCCAGTGTTCTCACAGGTGCCAGTGTTCACACAGGTACCAGTGTTCACACAGGTACCAGTGTTCACACAGGTGCCAGTGTTCCAGGGCACAAACGTTCACCAATTCAATAAAATGTTAGTTCAGTAATCCGGCCGAGTTCACTAATTTACCAGGTCACAAATTGTCCAGTTTACTAGGTAACTATTCAAGCAGTTCGACAATTTCCCAGTTCACCAGTTCGGTCGGAGTCTGAGATGATGATGAACCCAGCAGAGCACCTTGATGAATCACTCCATGACTTAGGTGAGTGTCTGGAACAGGTGAGCGGTGAGTCCTGCTATGAGTAAACTCAACAGCACGCAAAGGTGTTCCCACAGACTCAGCCTCTCGCAAGCACCTGTAGATGAGGAAGCACGTGTTATTCATAAGCCTCATGTACAGTAAACTCAGGTATACTCATCACATATATAAGAATCTGAGTGGTACTCAGGGGTAATTCTCCTCAAAATGACCTTCTGTATTTCCAAAGGTTCAGTTCCACTGGTTGTCCTAAGGCGCGCTGTTCAGGGTTAAGGGTTATTCAACCCATGCTTCTTCGTCCCCATTTGTGGAAAGTTTGGTGACCGCAGGAATCATAGGCGTGAATCCGGCCGGCCGGCTTGTATCCGCAGCAGCCGGCCGCGGGCACGTTCTGCGGCCCCTAAGCCACCGAGGCGGTAATTGGCTGCCTCGTGGAGACTGGCTCCCATCACTAACACAAACACACACCCTTTGACGGACACCACACACCACACACACACACACACACACACACACACACACACACACACACACACACACACACACACACACACACACACACACACACACACACACTGGGTGCCTCGTAGCCTGGTGGATAGCGCGCAGCACTCGTAATTCTGTGGCGCGGGTTCGATTCCCGCACGAGGCAGAAACAAATGGGCAAAGTTTCTTTCACCCTGAATGCCCCCTGTTACCTAGCAGTAAATAGGTACCTGGGAGTTAGTCAGCTGTCACGGGCTGCTTCCTGGGGTGTGTGTGTGTGTTGTGTGTCAAAAAAGAAAAAGTAGTTAGTAAACAGTTGAGAGGCGGGCCGAAAGAGCAAAGCTCAACCCCCTCAAACACAACTAGGTGAATACACACACACACACACACACACACAAGGGGAGACACAGGTGGAAACTGAGTATCCACATGAGCCACAGGGACGTTAGAAAGAACTTTATCAGTGTCAGAGTAGTTAAGAGGTGGAATGCATTAGGAAGTGATGTGGTGGAGGCTGACTCCATACACAGTTTCAAGTGTAGATATGATAGAGTCCAGTAGGCTCAGGAATCTGTACACCAGTTGATTGACAGTTGAGAGGCGGGACCAAAGAGCCAGAGCTCAACCCCCGCAAGCACAATCAGATAAGTACACACACACACACACACGCACACGCAAGGTGCACCAATTTGGTGTGTGTGTGTGTCAGGAACAGGTCACGAAAGGTTTCCAAAACTTTATACCTCAGGCAGTAATATTTGGCGGGGGTTGGACACCTTTATTTGCTGCGAGTGAGACGGGCAGTCGCCTGTTCCAAAACTTGTCGCGTCACAGAAACTGTCCGTTATTACGAGGTGGTCTGAGAAGCCCCGACTCAGCCCCCCCTCCCCCACTTGCACACCAGGATGTGTGTGTGTGTGCTGGCGACGCAGCCTCCTCCGCCACCTCAAGCTAGGCTAGTTAAACCGGCGGCTTGTGACTCATACAACCTGATTTCTACTGAAATCACAGGAAGTCTGGAGGCCGCTACTGAAGCCTGGCCCAAGAGGCTGTACATATGACCCACAAACCCTCAAGGAGGAAGGGCATATAAAGTGCATAACCCAAGTGAAAAAAACCCGGCAATAATAATGTATAATTGTAGATCATTCCAGTGAACGTGAGTGTCACAGGCCTCAGGCTAGTCTATATTTCCTTGTTTATGGTCCTGTTATTTGAGCGGTGTTAAAGCCGCGGCTCTAATGAAACAAAGAGCAAAGGTCGCAGAGCCTGGCTGGACCGCTGAAACTTGTCCCGGCCGCTGATTAGTCATCACGCCCCACCCAACATTTTTTCCAGGCAGCTGATTGGCCAATGCATTTCCGGCCAACAATTTGAATTTTAAATATTCATAATTTAGGAGGTTCATGCGGTTGAAGGTTATTCTCCGCGATAGGATACAAGCACATATCACCACACAGAGGTGTATGTTTGTCGTGAGAACCACAAAGGTCATCAGAGGTTAGAGGGCGTCGGATATGACCTTTGAGCATCAGGGAGGGTCATGAGTACAAAGGTCATGAGTACATTATAGAACTCATTACCCCAGGACACACTCATCTACAGATGTTATCCCAGCCTTAACACTAATAAGTGCGAATAGAGTACAAAAGTGTGCCCGAAACTTTGCTACATGTGAGAACGGGACGAAAAGTGTACACAAAAAGTGTCAAAGTGTGAGCGGAGTGTCAAGAACGGTGAATATAACAGTTCAGGAAGATTAATATTGAACTGTTCCAGCGGGTGAACCAATAACAACACAACTGTACTGAAGAATGATTGTAAATATGAGGTAATAAAGTGAACAAATCCACAAATTTTACCCTGTCGTAGCTCAGTCGATTAAGGCAGTGTCTGGGATACTCCCGGACGCAGGTTCGAATCCTCGTCACGGCCCTTGTGGATTTGTACATTTGATGCATCACGTTAGTGTGATCTCTGTGTGTGAGGTAATAAAGTGTTATATCTTTACCGTTAGCGTCGTGGCCGAGACTGAGGGGGCCGGGGGGCGCGACCACCCCCTCGTGTAGCGCATCCTTCTGGTAGAGACGATGGAGCGCAGCGACGCACCGCAGAGTGAGGCGTCCGTCGGGAAAATGATGGTCGTGCGCTCGAAACTGCAAGCCTAGTCGCGATGCCTCGCGTCCGTCCGCGTCGGGTGGGTCCTTGTATTCCACCAGGTAGTTCTGCGGCGCCTGCGTCGGGGGGGGGGGGGGGGAGAGAGAGAGAGAGAGAGAGAGAGAGAGAGAGAGAGAGAGAGAGAGAGAGAGAGAGAGGAGGAATATTAAACTGGATTCTGTGCTCTGAATGTGCTACTATATCAACCTTCTAACCTATCCTGGGGCCAGATTCACGAGAAAGCAGTTAGGCAAACACTTACGAACCTGTACATCTTTTCTCAATCTTTGGCGGCTTTGTTTATAATTATTAAACAGTTAATGAGCTCCGAAGCACCAGGAGGCTGTTTATAACAATAACAACAGTTGATTGTGAAGTTTTCATGCTTGTAAACTGTTTAATAAATGTAACCAAAGCCGTCAAAGATTGAGGAAAGATGTACACGTTCGTAAGTTCTTGCTTAACTGCTTTTGTGAATCTGGCCCCAGAAACCTATCACTCGAGTACATAGAAAACGTGGCTGTCTGTGACCCGTAACTTTATATTTCTTAAAACATTGCTTATCATAACGTACAGAACGCGACGTATTAGCGTTTGAGACATGAGCAGGGGGGCCGCCGTCACATTGTGTATTAAAAACAGCTTTGTTCTCATATATGTGTTGATATTATCTATATAATAATGTTCTATGTAGTCGGGCTACATAGGGTTGGCGTTAGGTTCACTTGGTGATTATTTGTATATGAAATACGTGGGTTTACAGCATGGCGATTCGAACAGAGGTCGTCAGCGAAACACTGTCCGAGAAAATTTCGAATGTCACCCGTTGTGAGTCGTGTGTCAACGGATTTTAATCTATGAACAGAGCAGTTAGATTAACGAGCATTTGGATTTTGTTGATGAGGACGGGTTGATTAATGAATGAAAAACGCTTTATAAACGACTCATGGCTATGACGTTCGAACATTTCTTTGCTGACGACTGTGTTCGAATCGCAATTCTGTATAAACGCTTCACCCACGTACAACAAATACAAATAATTGTCAACAAAACCAAACCACTTGACCTAACCTGCACCTAAAACAATGCGCAATATGCTAATATATAATAATATTAATTTATATTTGAGAAAATTCCTATTATTAACAACAGCATGTTTAAATTCTTGAATGCATTTTTGGGGTGGGGACGAGGCTATGGCCAAGCCTAGCCTCAGGACGGGTCCACGCGGCTAGCCTCGTCACGTTAACTAATGCTCACAATTACGTTGTGATCAACGTATCCACACGTTAGTTCTAAGGTGGAGTCAGAACATCACAGCTTCAGTGAAGAACGACGCACCTGGTCAACTAGACTGTTGCTATTGCATTATATTCTCATTGCGTTTGATCAATGTTTTGTTAATTACTGCCAGCGATCCATTAGAAGGTGCGATGGAGACATGAAACAGGGGAAAGTAATAATGTAGATTGTTCGGTAAATCACTCTAACATTCAAGGAGCACAGATACAAGCCTGGGGCCAGATTCACGAAAGCACTTACGCAAACACTTACGAACCTGTACATCTTTTCTCAATCTTTGGCGACTTTGTTTCCAATTATTAAACAGTTAATGAGTTCCGAAGCACCAGGAGGCTGTTTATAACAATAACAACAGTTGAATGGGAAGTTTTCATGCTTGTAAACTGTTTAATAAATGTAACCAAAGCCGTCAAAGAATGGGGAAAGATGTACACGTTCGTAAGTGCTTACGTAAGTGCTTTCGTGAATCTGGCCCCTGGTTTCCTCAATGTCTTAAGGAGCCTTAATGTCTCTTCTCGTATAAACTACTTTCTCTTTAGCACGGTATTTACTGCTTCCAGTTGCTTGTATAAATTGGTGAGGTCGAGCGTCTTAATACATTCACGAAGATCAGCCACAATCTTCTAACTGGAGAACTTTTTAAGCATTTAGAATGATTAAAGTTATCCTTGCCACCATAATCTCCTCCGCTGAGAAAGCTCCTTGCTTCCTTCCTTGTTTGGTTTGCTTGCTTGGTTATTTCCCTCCTTCCTTGCTTGCCTGTTTCTTCAACCCGTCCTCTTAAAAATAGTGACGTTATTCATTTATATTTGAGAAAATTCCTATTATTAACAACAGCATGTTTAAATTCTTGAATGCAATTTTGCAATAATGAATAACGTCACTTTTGGCTCGTATGCGCGCTATGGCCAAATTTGGACGTAATTTGAAATGAAATCGACTCACAAAAGTGACGTACTGTTCCGTTTTCTGTTTGAGTCGTCCGGCTTACTCGGCCAGCTTAGAAGAGGAACTTTCAATTCACGTTTTTCATACCGTTTTGAAACTTTACGAGAATTTCCTGCTCACCTAACCTATCAGAGGACCCTTAACTTACTGTTGTTGAAAAAAAAATCCCAAATTTATTTTCAATTTTTTTTCATTTTCAAATTACGTCCATATTCGGCCATACGGACAAACGGCCAAAAGCGACGTTCTTTTTAAGAGGACAGGTTGAACTCTTCCCTCCATGCTTCACAATTTTTAGAACAGTTGCATCAGGACAGACTACATGAAGCCACCAACCACAACACACCTTAAACCTATACCTAAATGCAATTTGTAAATTATTTATTCCAATAAAATAATAATGTTTGACAGTCAAGAATGATCAATGTCCCATGATTACAATAAGGTATAAACAGACACGCAATACTCATCTGAAAAGGATTACAGATGCATTCTTGTGTAATAGATTAATCACTTAGCGATTAATATACACAATGGCTGCTATTGTGTTAAAAAAAATGAGTTCAAGTAAGATTTTTTAAAAGTGGTTTTATTTAAAATTTAAACAATAATATATTTCAAATATATTGCAAATTGGAGCTGTTATAAGAGATTGACTATATAATTCCGACATTATAGCAGCCACCATGTTGTCCAGAAACATTTAGTTGAAACATTTATTGAAGAACAGATAATTTGATTTGTATTCTTGAATTACTTATATACAAATTATATGTTCTTTTAATTAGTTGTTCTGTAACTGTACATTCAGCAAAAGTTAACTCTTTCCCCCTCCCCCCCCCCCCCCCTCCTTTAGTCGTTCAAAATGTATACGCTTAGCAGTTAAAAGTGTATATTTTGCACTAAAAAAATTAAATTAATGTATTATCAGTATACATGGATAATGAGAATGTATAATTTAATTCATACTTGTATCGTTTGCTTTTTAACACTAATACAACGGTTCCCCCCCCCCCCCCCAAAAAAAAAAAAAACTTTGCTGGTAAAAGCAGTGAGTCGTTTACAGTGTAATTGTCTGTTCATAATACAGAGGTTGAATTTACATACTTTATAATTGGTAATGAGTATTTAACACTTCTAAATGTATCTTTTCTTGCATCAAGTGTGTATATGGCAACTATAGATGTATATTTTGACATTTCTGAATTGATATTTTCAGCTTTTGTATATATATATATATATATATATATATATATATATATATATATATATATATATATATATATATATTCTTATATATATATATATATATATTCTATATATATATATCTTCTTAATGTGAAGGTGGCGATTCATATTTTATATATATGGCAGTGTTTAGTATATATATATATATGCAGATCTTAATGTCTATATGGTATTTCTTTAAGTATATTCTTAACTGTTCAAGATGGAGATTCGTTGTTCCAAATACTAAAACCAAATTAAGCTTACCACTTCGTTGTTAATGAACCAGGTGAGTGTGGTGGCCGGAATAGACTTGGGCGCCTGACAGGTAAGGTTGACCGTCTCTCCAGGCCTGTAGGTCTCCTGTCCACCCACCACCTCTGGGCCCCCGTCCGGTAGATCTGTCACGTCCCCACGACACACACACAGAAAGAACTTTTTTAGTGTCAGAGTGGTTGACAAATGGAATGCATTAGGCAGTGATGTGGTGGAGGCTGACTCCATACACAGTTTCAAATGTAGATATGATAGAGCCCAATAGGCTCAGGAACCTGTACACCTGTTGATTGACGGTTGAGAGGCGGGACCAAAGAGCCTGAGCTCAACCCCCGCAAACACAACTAGGTGAGTACAACTAGGTGAGTACAGAGACAAAAATAACGACGGTTAAGTTACTTAACTCAGTATAACTTCAGACACGTTCCCTTGTCCCTCCTTTGCCCTCTAGCTACTTACCATAGACGGTGAGTGAGGCAGATCGAACGAGGGTCCGGAACTGCGGCGCTTCCGTCAGTACTTCACATTTGTAGCGACCGGCGGTTTCCAGACTCACTCTCTTCAGCGCCACCTGCTGTTCGTCGCTCCTCTCCGTCTGGTGAGGCAAACAGGTGAGAGGTGAGGTGCCAGGTAGGTGCTGGTGTGTAGGGCATGGGGGGGAGGGGGTATTTGAGGGAGGGGGGGGGAGGGTGAGGGGAATAGAGTTTGTTAGAAAATCAACAATCAACTGGAGCTCCAGATATTGCTCTTGTCATTGATATGTATCATGTTAGTGTCAAACACCAAAACACACACACACACACACACACACACACACACACACACACACACACACACACACACACACACACACACAGGGGGGGTGATGTGGTGGAGGCTGACTCCATACACAGTTTCAAGTGTAGATATGACAGAGCCCGATAGGCTCAGGAATCTGTACACCTGTTGATTGACGGTTGAGAGGCGGGACCAAAGAGCCAGAGCTCAACCCCCGCAAACACAACTAGGTGAGTACAACTAGGTGAGTACACACACACACACACAGTCATCAAGTCTAATTTGATGTCCAGTAATTTGAATATCACACTAATCACCAAGACGGCATCGCTACATCGACCCCATCTTATTAAGCAAACAGCACAGAGCTTAGAATATCAGCAGGAAGGTCATCACAGCTCCCTAAGTCAGCGTCAGTCGTAGAGATCAGTTTTTTCCTCCTTTTCCAACTGAAGAGAATGAGGGTTGATCCTAGCAGAAGCTCTGGCGAACATCGCTAAAGTTTTTGAACCTTATAATAATCTGGAGTGACTGTACGGGGGATAACTGGCATAGCGGTAGTTGTAGTGTTGTTGTCTTCATGTCACAACTGGCTAAGAGAGCGGCTGTGTGCTGGGTGCTAAGGGGAACACAGGCAACTATTTGTACTCAGGCAGGGGTCGTTAAAGCGGCGGCCGGACCTCCACTAGATGCGTTCATCCATTTTAACATTCTTTTCTTTCAAAAATAGGATTTTTCTCAATTTTAAATTAATATTATATTTTATCATATTGTGCAGATTTAAACGTAGGTTAAGTTAGGTGTTTAGGTTCTGTTGGTAATTATTTGTATTTAAAGTATTCGTGGGTGAAGCATTTATAGAATTGTGATTCGAACAGAGGTCGTCAGCGAAGCATTGTTCAAGATGTCCGAACGTCATCACTTGTGAGTCGTCTGTGCAGCGTTTTTCGTTCATAAACCAGCCCGTCCTCATCAAAAGGGCCGCAAAGCTCGTTAATGCAGCCGCCAAACCTCCAGTTAATGAGTGAAAAACGATTTACACACGACTCACAACTGATGACGTTGGAACATTTCTCGAACAGTGCTTTGCTAACGACCCCTGTTCGAATCGCCATGTTATAAATGCGTCACCCAATGGGCACCCAATTAACAATGGGCAGAGTTTCTTTCACCCTATGCCCCTGTTACCTAGCAGTAAATAGGTACCTGGGTGTTAGTCAGCTGTCACGGGCTGCTTCCTGGGGGTGGAGGCCTGGTCGAGGACCGGGCCGCGGGGACACTAAAGCCCCGAAATCATCTCAAGATAACCACCCACGTACTTAAAATACAAATAATTGTCAACAGAAGCTAAACATGTAACCTAGCTATACAAAGAACTTAATATAGAGTGATATATATGTAAATGAGTAATAGCCAATTTTAATGCACAATTCGTTAACATTTATGAATGTGTCTTGAGAAAGGCCGCAGCTTTAACGAGCCTGGTCTAAGGACAGGTTGAATAAACAGAGGATTTGGCGGCTGCAGTCTTCTCCTGAGCACAGGTCAATTGAGCAGCTGTACCATGCGTACAACAGAGGTCAACTGAGAAGCTGATTGAACGAGTTGAAAAATTAGCACTTAATTTAGTCATTTCTAATCTAGTGTATAAGACGTTAGAAAATACTTTAGCAGCAAAATTATTAACAGGACATAACAAGTTGATTAATAATTTACATGTCATTAATGTAAATGTTGCAAAGTGATCTATAGTAAACAGCCAAATATACTTGAGGTTATCTTGAGATGATTTCGGGGCTTTTTAGTGTCCCCGCGGCCCGGTCCTCGACCAGGCCTCCACCCTCAGGAAGCATCAGGGATCAGGGACTTAAGTAATACAAATTCTCACGTAAACAAGTTCACGTTTCAATAACATTAAAACTTTGACTCTTTCAGATTAATGAAATATTGAACAATTGGGCACATAAGCTTCAATTCCCTTTGTTGGGGACAGGAAGACTGTATTTATAGGCGTAACCACATAGTCCTATTACTGACCCTTCCCAGGATACAAACCCACAATAGGTAGCTAACTCTCGGGTACCCATTTTACTGCTAGGTGACCAGAGGCATAAGGTGAAAGGAAATTTGCCCAACCGTTTCTGTCCTGACCGGGAACTGAACTCAGGTTCCTCGATTGTGAGTCGAGGTAGTGAACCATATTGCTATAGAACCAATAAAATAAGCCTATAGGCGGTTTTGTGCAATGGTGAACATAAATCAGGTATTCTGAACATTGGTGAACATATGGATGCTGGCCCCTTGTGTACCCTGGTCCAGCGGGGGCCCCCACACACTATACTCACATCAACAGTGATGCCTGGGAAGGGAAAGAACTGCTGCCTAGGCCACTCCGCCGGCACGTAACGGTAGAACTCCCTGCCGGCCTTGTACCACTTGACCGAGTACAACTCGTCCCCGGCCAGGTTGAATTGACAGGTGAGCAGCGCCTCGCCGCCCATGGCCGCCCACGGCGGCACGTTGAACCTCACCCACTTGAGCGCAGCACCTGCGGGGAGACCAAACACTTGAGCGAAAGAACTGCAGCGGGAACACTTAACGTTAATCAGGTCTCCTGCTATTGGGGGGAAGATATTCGCTCCGGCCGGTATTCAGGTGATTTCCTGCAGGTGTAAACACTCGTCTTAATTCAGAAGTTCTGAACAATCCTCAGCTGGTAATCACCTCGTCGCCTGGAGAAGGGAACGACTGTTAGAAGATTAATTTAATAGGAATAAAGGGATTTCTTACTAGGAAACTATATTGTTGTTCTACAGATACACAACACGTCTGTCATGGCAACCTGTCATGTCAGCCTGTCATGGCAACCTGTCATGTCAGCCTGTCATGGCAACCTGTCATGTCAACCTGTCATGGCAACCTGTCATGGCAACCTGTCATGTCAGCCTGTCATGGCAACCTGTCAAGTCAGTCTGTCAGGGTAACCTGTCATGTCAGCCTGTCATGGCAACCTGTCATGTCAGTCTGTCATGTCAACCTGTCATGCCAGCCTGTCATGTCAGCCTGTTATGTCAACATGGCAGCCAGTCGAATTAATGAAGATGATGTTAAGCTCCAGTATGCCTGCTGTTTGCACCTGGATTACCTGGATTATAAAACTTGATAAGCTACCCGGCAGTGGCCAGGTCTTGTTCATTCTCACCCTCTTCCCTTCCCTCTCTCCCATCTCTCCGAAACGCACAAAGTAACCACAATGTTATTTTTACAGTAGTTACTTATGTACAACATTGTAAAAAAACATAGTTTAAAAAGTTGTAATTACACTGTGTGTAGGTTAGGATATTACAAACAGCTGAAAACTGTCGAATAACTCTATGGACACCCAACCCCACATTTCAGATTCCATAAGAGTCGCTGGTATTCAGAATAGGAGTCGATCCTTTCTTCAAGAGGAACACTGTGGATGACGTGGACCAGCACATCGCGGTCCCGTACCGACCAGCTGTAATCTTAAAACAAAGGTGACAGGCGGTACAAGATGGTACAAGATGGAACAAGATGGTACAAGATGGTACAAGATGGTACAAGATGGAACAAGATGGAACAAGGTGGTACAACATGGTACAAGATGGAACAAGATGGTACAAAATGGTACAAGATGGAACAAGATGGAACAATATGGTGCTGACTGAGACAAGGACTTAAGATGTGAACTTTTTCTTGCCCTCGGGTATAACATCTTTTATCCTTCAGGACAGACAGTAAAAACATTAAGATGAGACAGAGAGTAAGAAGAGGGGGTAATAAACCACAGACAGTAACAGTAGAGAGCGTCACAGCACCAGGCGTCACGTATAAGTACCAGCCTTATAGCCTGGGGCCTCGTAGCCTGGTGGATAGCGCGCAGGACTCGTAATTCTGTGGCGCGGGTTCGATTCCCGCACGAGGCAGAAACAACTGGGCAAAGTTTCTTTCACCCTGAATGCCCCTGTTACCTAGCAGTAAAATAGGTACCTGGGAGTTAGTCAGCTGTCACGGGCTGCTTCCTGGGGGTGGAGGCCTGGTCGAGGACCGGGCTGCGGGGACACTAAAGCCCCGAAATCATCTCAAGATAACCTCAAGATAGCCTTGCCTGCCTCCACAAGACATGATAACACCTCAAATTATCATACGGCAACTGTACTTTTCTCTGCCCACTTCCGTCTCTCTCAAGATATCATGGACCGATTGCACCTACAATCCTCCTGTTGATTCTCTTGTTACTAAAGTTACCTTTGACGATAATCTCTCTTTTTTTTCCTTAGAAGGCGACTGAGGACTTTCTTCATTCCCTGACGTCTCCCTCGGTCTCATCAGACTCTCAGTTGACTCTTTTAGATGGAATTCATTTCTCTCAAAGTTTCCCGTGTCGCTATGAGATCTTATTCCCTGTTCTTGTCACTCTTCATATGGAATACTTGGAAACTGTTCTTCTTCCCACTATTGATATTCGTCCTTCTCTCTCCGTCTCTGTCTCTCTGTCTCTGTCTCTCTCTCTCTCTCTCTCTCTTCACTATGTTGATATATTTTATTTGAAGTACTTCTAGCCTGATTAAGGATGTGATCTTTTATCTTTGAAGATCACATCTTTAATCAGGCTCGAAGTACTTCACATTGTTTTGTAAGATGATTAGATGATTGGAGGTCAACTTAACACCTTCAGAAAGGTCACGAGGCTGTAAGAGGAGGAATGAGATGCGATAGTGGAACCTGGTGAGGTTGTGGATGAGAGAGAGAGAGAGAGAGAGAGAGAGAGAGAGAGAGAGAGAGAGAGAGAGAGAGAGAGAGAGAGAGAGAGAGAGAGAGAGAGAGAGAGAGAGAGAGAGAGAGAGAGAGAGAGAGAGAGAGAGAGAGATCCCCAGGCATAGGTACGAATGGGAGGGGGGTTGAAGTCCAACCTGAAGCGAAGAATCGACTTGAGAATGGTCCAGGACGGACCGAAACGTCGTCGTCCCTTCACCTTCTAGTGTGTGGTCTGGTCAACATACTTTAGCCACGTTATTGTGACTCATCGCCTGCAACCTGGAGCGTAATGGGGGATGAAGAGACGTGGGTTTATGTGTAATAGTCATCAGATGACATCAGGGAGATGCTGTTGTAGTGTGAGATGTCGTCATGGTAACCAGGATCGATACCACACCAGACATCTGTCTCATGTCGAGTCGACAGATCTTTCACACAGACTCCAACCTCTTGTGGAGTCAGCTGGAGGAATCTTCGTGGCTCTTCAATGTGCATGTTTAGAGAAGGAGTTCTTGTGCATGTAAGAGTTTAGTTATGTTTCAACTTATCAGTCCCTCTCTGTCTCTCTGTCTGTCTCTCTCTCTCTCTCTCTGTCTCTCTCTCTCTCTGTCTCTCTCTCTGTCTCTCTCTCTGTCTCTCTCTCTGTCTCTCTCTCTCTCTGTCTCTCTCTCTCTCTCTCTCTCCCTCACTTTCCCTTGCTGGTGGAATCATCTCTATGTGACTGTCCTTATGCACTGACCTGTTTTTCTGCTTTCTAAGCACAACATATTAACATAAAAATTAATACATGTCTGTAGAAGGGTCAGGTTAAGGACACGAAAACTGATCTACATTCGAGTAATATATATATATGACGAAGTTACGACCCTTCGACATAAAAACTGGAACTCCGCACGTACGTAGCGGAGCGTTGGTTAGATTTACCAGCGAGTTTAAGCATCCAAATGATTTTTATTAATCGTGAGAAAATTTAATGTTTAAATTAAGCTTTAGTTATGTTTACTTTTCACCGTCATTTTCACTTTCAGTTTTAATTCCATTGTGGAGGTGAGCGAAGACCTGCCCGCTAGTCCCGTGATGGGTTTGTTGAATACATGACTAGGGTGATTAGTCACTCTCTCTCACACACACACACACACGCGCGTGCGTGCGAGCGTGTCTCATCCATTTTATCCATTCCCACTCTCCCTCTCTTTCTCACTCTCTGCCTCTCTTTCTCTTTTCTTACTCATAATAACCTCATAATGTCACTTCAGAAGCCGTTTCCGCTAGTGTCTAATTAACTTATATGATTGTTATCTCTCTCTCTCTCTCTCTCTCTCTCTCTCTCTCTCTCTCTCTCTCTCTCTCTCTCGTAATCTATCTGGAATTCTTCAAATAACTCAAGAGTTAAGAACAAATCTTGAAGGCTGTCCAGGTCCTTTGAAGGTCCGTGATGACACGGTGACTTATTAATGAAGAAATGCCTTCAAAATACCTTGAAGATGTTGTAAACTTTGTCATCCACACTGACCTCTTGGTTGGCAGCCTGATCAACAAGATTGTTAGTATTTGCAATACGCAGGCTGATGGAAGTACTTCAGCTTGGCTGACAAGTAGCACAAGTAGCATGTTGTTGTTTTAGCTACTTAGAACAATAAGTTTCAGTAGCACGGGCTATGGTGAGCCCGTAAGGTCCTCCACAAGTAGCAGACTGAAGTACCGTGTCGAGCCATGCTGGACACAAGTCCTCCCTGAACTCAGGTACCGCCTTGGACACAAGTTTTCCTGGACACAATTCCCCCCCCCCCTGGACACAGTTAAGAGTCCAGTGATTTGCTTACTGCATCACTTTTTCTCCATGTGGTCATTATGGCTGGGCCAGACCTGAGGCCAGATTCACGAAGCAGTTACGCAAACACTTACGAACCTGTACATCTTTTCTCAATCTTTGGCGGCTTTGTTTATAATTATTAAACAGTTAATGAGCTCCGAAGCACCAGGAGGCTGTTTATAACAATAACAACAGTTGATTGGGAAATTTTCATGCTTGTAAACTGTTTAATAAATGTAACCAAAGCCGCCAAAGATTGAAGAAAGATGTTTACGTTCGTAAGTACCTGCGTAACTGCTTCGTGAATCTGGCCCCTGGTCTCTGCAAGAACGGTAATTTAAGGGATTTCAGACGTGTTCTGTAGTTTGGAAGGTGTTACAGGAGGAATGGGAAGTTCCCCTACCCACTACCCACGTCTCCAGTTTGCCCAGCACTTTGGGGCCATATTGGTGTGTTGCAGTATTCCAGTTTACAGTATACCAAGACCTTACAAACTGGGGTTACGAGTTTGAGTATGTGGTCTGTGTATGTTTGTGTGAAGGTGTGAGTGTTTGGGAGTGTATGTATCGGAGTGTGTGTACGTATGGGGTATGTGAGTGTGTGTGTATATATATATTTTGAGTACATAGCAATATGCAGCTTGGAGATCAAAAATGTAATTACTGTATCATCATAATTGGACAGCATTAGTTTTATTCAAATTCACATCCACCGACAAAATGAATAAAATAAAAAAAAACATTACTGACTCTTTATTTACTAACTTTATTATCCCTTACCCATTGTGAGCCGGACCCAAGATTTATTATAAAAAAAGCAAATCGGTCATTTTCAGCTACAAAGAATTCATGCATTACTCAGTAGCAAAAGCCACATTTTGCGAATGATGCGACAATGACCCAACCGCTTAGACTAGCCAGCCTCACTTCGTGCAGGTCTGCGTTCGATTCCCG